CAATAGCCTACCATGGGGAACCTTATCAAACGCTTTACTGAAATCCATATACACCACATCAACCGCTTTACCCTCATCCACCTGTTTGGTCACCTTCTCAAAGAACTCAATAAGATTTGTGAGGCACGATCTACCCTTCACAAAACAATTTTGAATTCGGGCCAGTGCTTGGCGTACCTCCTAGTTCAGACATGTCTTGCCCTGCATGCTCGAAAACAGCCGCGACTGAATTTCTACCCACAAATCTCTTTTCACCCTCCTTAGCTTCAGGAGGGAGGGAATCCTGCAACAGGTTACTTAAGGATTGAGCAGAAGAATGACAGAGATTGAGCAAACCCAGGGAGAGGAAGAAAAGGCCCAGCCTCTGCCTGGCAACAATCTTTGTCCAATTACCGATGGAGGCAGATGGAGAAATCTGAGGCACTAAGAATGGTCGGGATCTGGCTGCTCGGGAGAAACATGGACGTGAGCCGACAGTGAGAGCAAAAGTTATCAAGAGACAGCCAAGGGACATGTATTCAGGAAGACTAAATCAAATGGGCCAGAGGGGAGAGAGAGGAGGGAGAGGTAATCAACAGAATAATAAAGACAATCAGAATATATGCCTTGTCAGTTCATTGATATGTTTCCAACTTGTCGGTTATGCCTTAAATCTGACATGTAAATTTGAGTTGAGTTTTACAAAGAGAGCTTAGTACTGGTGTGAGGTGGGGCCAGTTGCAGTGAAAAGTGTGTCTCTGGGAGAAGTTCTGTACAAGTAATTCTTCACTATATACCAATTAAATCTTCCGCCACATTGCATAGGGGGAGTGATGACATTTTTTCAGGCAGAGGAGGGTTGGAGGATAGGCAAGTCATGGAGTGTGTAGGAGGCACCAAGGAAGCGGACGGAGCTGAAGGTAGAGGGGAATCTGGAGAAGCAGAGATTTCAAGAAGGTGTCAGAGATGGATAATGATAGTTGAAGCAAAGGAGGATGGGAATAGGGAGAGGTGGAGAGAAGTAGCAGAAAGAATAGAGAAGTGAGTAGCGGGGAAAATGAGTGAGGCTGGGAACAGAGTGAGGGAGAAGAATGGGCGAACAGAGAAGAGGAGCGAACAGGGCAGGGAATGGGGTAAGTAGAAGGAAAGGTAAGGAGAGCAGGGGAAAAGGAAAGGAGGAAGGGAGGTGTCAAGTAAGCACATCAGGGCTGATGAGGGACAGAGGGAAAGAAAAAGGGAGAGGATGGAGCAGGGAAGGAGTGAGGTGAATGTCGTAGGGGGATAAGAGTGAGTAGAGAATCGTTTAGAAGTTGTGTTGCCATGCACTGTGAATTCATTCTGCAGCTAAACCTTTATTAAAGCTTTGATGACCCTCGTATATTAGAGTTTTGTGGCTTCAATCAAGAGTGTATCAGAACCATTGTAAAAGTGTGGGATGGAGACAGTAGTGTGTTTCATTTGCACCAATTTCAGTTCTGTCAATTGTAGAGAATGTCAGAGCACTGTGTCTCTGTCAAGTTCATTTTGCTAAAGGTGACTGGTTCTTGATCTTTAATTGACCTTTTAAATTGATTTTGAGATCAAATGGCTTATCCTCTGCATAGAGGCTATACACTTACTGATAGAAACTTTATAATGCAAAATAGTGTGTACTTTTTATTTTTGAAAGCTTGTCATGGAACATTCTGTTGTATGTAGAAAACTGCTCATAGTGATATTTCTGGAAAACAGAGGTGACGCACTGCAGATAGTGTTCAGATCCAAGCAGGTGGTGAGGCGATTTCATCAACCACTCAATAGCCATAACAAGAGGCTGCAAACATTTTTGTAGTTTGGCTTCATTTGACTCTGCCAAGCGAGCAATGAAAGGCAGCTTGGCGGTCGAGGGACTAGGAAAACCGAGGCTCACATCTGCAGAGCTCAACTGGAAGTCACTGCTGAGAGGGGGTTGTGGAGTGAAGATGGTGATGGCAAAGACACTGGGCTAGTATTCCATTGGACTTGGGCTCAAATCCCACAAAGACAGATGGGAGAATCTCAATTGAATAAAAAGACTGAAATTAAAGATATGAACTAATGGTGACTATGTAGCACTGTCATTTGTCAGGAAAAACCAACCTGGATCACTCATTAAGGAAGGAAGTCTGCCATCCTTATCTGGTCTGGCCTACATGTGACTCTAGACTCTCAGAAATGTGGTTAACTCATAACTGCCTTCTGTGCAGTTAGGGATGGGCAATGAATATTGGCTGGAGTATTTATGGAGGTACGAAAACCATTCATTGTCCTCCTGGCCCATCCTAAAATCAGTTGCCTAACTCTTTCCAGTTTTCTTCTTTCCACATC